GGGGGGGAGTACGATTGTTTAAAAGTCGCTTGGGGCATGTTCATTACTGAATCAATATGTATGGGATGGGAATCGCTGGGATGAGAGTACGACAGCAAAACTTTATCCTGGGATTGAGGAAAATGCTGCAATCGGGAATGACACACAATGAGCGTGCTGGCACGCAAAAATAAACGTTGTGTGAATTTTATTACGATTTTACATGTACTGTATTTACTCGTGTATAATTATTATTCATGTATAAGTCGCACCCCAAATTGTACCTTGAAAGGTTGGTACAAACATTGGTACATTAACAAGATTTCTTAGCTTCTTTTTACAAGTCGGACCCCCTGATTGTTTTTATTGAGATTGTGTACAAAAAAGTGCGGTTTATACACAAGTAAATACGGTATATATTGTAATATCAGGAGCATATCAATAGTGATATTTGCTGGTAATATCAGGAGTGTATAATATTATTATTATTATAGATATATATCGCGACGCACTGCAATTTACTGCGAGTGCAGTGCCTGATTGTTTCATTCGTATTGTTAGCTTTTATGCATTGTTCATTATGCATTCGAATCTCGTCGCAGCGATCGCAAGGCAGCGTATGTAGGTAGTGTAGTGTAGTAACCATAAAAACAATGCTTGCGACCGGTGGAACCAGTCGCGCGTTTCTGCGACTGGTCGCAAGAGTAGAGCATGTGCGAATCGCTGCGATCGCGTTGCGACTGACAATTTTTTCATGTTGCAAGCAGTCGCAGGCAGTCGCAGGGGTGCTTAGGTCGAACTTTCTCTGCGACGCGATCGTCGCTGCGACTTGCAACCAGTTGCAAGAAACCAGTCGCAAGCCAATCGCTTCGCGTCGCAAGCCCGACATAAGCCCGGCTTAAAGATACAGGTGTGTTTCTTGCTAAAGATACACGTTTGGATCCGTAACCACTGCTTTCTACATAGTACTACCATTACTAATACTAGCAATAGTAATACTAGTACTACTACTACTACTAGTTTCCTAACCAACTTACTAATTGTGTATCGCATACTTTACACACGAGAGACATGGACATAAAGTCTCAAAATATCAAAGACCGTTTTGAACGACGTGTAACGTTAATAGACCTACTAACATTAGCTTTTTAGGTACCTAATTTAATAATACCAGATTTCCTATTATCTACTTCTGATAATACCTTGTTGGCTCTGATCAACCCTTGCGGGCAGTGGTTTCTCGTGCACTTATCTGGGACAAATACACTAAATGGCAAAGATCTTACCGCTAACGTACATACTATACAACTGAATTTTTTATTTCAGCTCTACAAATACGTTTTACTCCTTGATAATTGTGTCTACTTTTTCAATAAATGTTATTGAATTTATCAAACATTTAGACAAAATGGCGACAGTGGCGTCTGTTCGGCAAACGCCAACA